TCAAAAGAATAGCGATCATACTCTCCAGACGTACACGGTCAGACTCGCAGTGTCTGCAGAAGATTGCCAGCAGACATAGCCACCAAACGCGAATGGGGGGCGCGTCGATCAACGTAACGTCCAGCCCTGGCAGATATATCAATAATGCTACTGGACATCGAGCCATTGGTCAGAACGCCTCGCAGATGAATGAGTGACGTTACCGCGTTCGCATTCAGTCAGGGTGCTACCCAGCCAGTGACCGCTGCAGGAATCCGGCCCAAGGTGCTTGGCTGCCTATTGTAACAAAGACGAAGGGCGTACCCTCCATGCGCTACGGGACGCTGCAGTGGAAGCGATGGACGTCAACAGAGTCTACTACTCCGCGTCTAGAACTTCAATGAGTCGGAGGCTGCCACATTGTAACGTCAATGGTGCCGCACGCACGCCCTGCGAGAACAAATACATGAGAACATGAGTTTCGCAGATGAAGTAGTATGTACTTCGCTATATCACGAGATCAAAGCAGTTGCGGGTAGTCTGAATTTGCTTGATGATACCTCACTCCCACCGCTCATGGCAACCTCAGCATTCATCACCGCATCGTCTGCGAACAAAGCTAGACGATCCTGCTCCCGTTTCGGCAACTCGTCCACTTCGAGTGAGACGCTTCCGAAAAGCTCCTCTTCGAGCTGCTTAAGCTGTTGCAAAAACCCTGGGTTGGGCGACACCTGCGGTCTCGCTCGCACCACTTGCCCGAGAGCGGCCTTCAGCGGCATGTGACGCGACTTCATCAAGTACGCGACGACTAGCGATGGAGAGCGCGATATCCCTGCCGAACAATGTACCAGGATCTTGCCCTTGCCACCGCCTTTGGAATTGGGACCAATGGCGCCGTCAATGAATTTGCACGCCTCGCTCGTCACTTTGGAGAGTAGTGACGTGGCGGAGTCATTGAGCGAGAGGCGTTGGTAGACGACACCCTCGATCTTCCGCGACGGAGTCGAGCCGATGCTCAAAACGTGTGTGATGCCATTAGCTTCGAGGAATGTCTTATTCGACGCAGCTGAGCAAGGTCCAAGATATAGAGACGGTGAGAGTACAAGCGAGGCTGATTCCGTCAACGAGATGGCCTGCGCTTTCTGACGTTTCACCATCTCGTTCGAATGTACGGTCAAGCTCAATTTCGACCGTACTGCAGCAGTTTCATAGCGGTTTGCATCTCCGCTTTGATGGCGTACAGTGCGGAGGAGCATAGGATGAGCTCCGTCTGATGTTCAGCCACACGAGCCACCCTAGAGCGCTAACCCTTCCTGGGAGGGTATATATACAGTCCGTCTACTACACTGATGGGCAACAACGCTACTCCGACTCTCTGACCATGGCCGACGTCGAATATTCTCACGATGACTTCGAAGTCGTACGCACCGATCCCAGGTTTGGGGGATTTGAAGAACTCAAGCTCAAAGACGGAAGCACGGTACGATTACCAACCTGAGTGGGAGTCTCTGCATACTCCTTACGACGTTCTCTCCAGCATACTCGATTCTTTCGCAAGTCTGTGGCACCTGGAGACAGCGCTGCTCTGGAGCAAGTGTATGCGGAATGCGTTTTTTGTGTAGCGCGTGAAGCTGACATCATGGTGTGTAGTTCAGAGCTCAAGACACACGTCCTGAAAGACGGGCAGTCCGGTGCCGCGCACCCCATTTACACGCACGAGGGGCGCAAGTGGATTCTATTGTCCTTGCCTGACGAGCACTACCAGTCGTCGGTGTTGGCTGCGTGACTGACTCATGAGCGTCTGTCTGTGTCTGTCTTTAAATGCCTGGCCCGTCTCATGATACTGCACATGTACGAAACTTCTTGACTCTTTGTATTGGCTAGAAGCTCATAAGGTCTAGCATCCATGATTTTTGTGTCTGGATGGCGGCTAATGTCCATAACGCCCAGGAAGTATATGCAGGGTGGAGTACGTCGCATTCTCGATGTCGAGTGGCTCCCTGGACAGCCCCGTCGCGGCGCACCCTGACCACTGCGCGTCACCTCTGCCTGGCTTCCTCTGGTGACGTTCCTTCCAGACTGATGCCAATAGACCCTGACTATGCGTGTGACTTGGGCATGGGGCCTGGCCTTGATGGACCTGACAAGACAGCATCTGTAATGTTGTGCTGATAGCGCGAAATTAGTACGTGAGCGCACAATTGGCAGCCATTCTCCCCAGACCAGAACGGCCTCTCGGTAATAGCGTTTCCAATATTAGCGCACATGTACACCACTTTGCCACTCATTCAGTTGTCAATAGAATCAGACCGTAAAACCTTCGTTCGCCTTAGGCGCAGGGCATATTCTAAACGCGTTATAGAATTCGATGCATCGGGGACCATCATCCTTATACTGAAAGTTCAGCATCCCATGCTCCGCTCAGCCAGTCGACACCCTCACCTTCGTCGCATTGCTCACCAGCTGTTCAACTGAATACTGCTGCAGCTGCATTACTTGTCGGTACGCCTCTCGCTCACCTGCGTTCTGCCAAGCTCCGAATATTTGACCCATTGTCATTGCTAGTAACCTCTGTACACCATGTCAGACGACGTCGTTTTCACCTATAAGAGCGGTGGGAAGGAGCAGACCAAGACGCTCAAGGGCTCCGACAGGATCTCCAGTCGCGAGGCTGTGGGCTTGTGGAAGGTGAACAACAGGAGCTGGAAGGTGTACGCCACGACCTCCCAGCTCGGCGCGTTGACCGCGGACTACGACCGCGCGCAGATTGACGCGGGTTTACCGGTGGGGACTCCCGCGCCTGCGTTCCAGCAGGGTTCTGTGAAGCAGGGATCGAAGCGCGCTACGGAGGGTTTCGTCATGATCGCACAGTGGATGGAGGGGGCCAACTTTCAGAAAACCACGGCGTCATTCAAGGCTGCACTCACCAAAGAGAAGATATCCCACGACAAGACTTCGACCGATTATAAGAGGTGCGCGATGTCTTCAACGACCTAAATACTGGCCCAAGATGAACACGACTCTTCTTTCTAGGATCGAAGCGGGATGTAACGCCGCGAAAACGATCGGCTTGAAAGATTGTCAAGGCTTCATTAAGAAAGACATAAACGAGCCGGTTCGATTCGTCGATGTGCATACGTCTTGGAACGCGCAGACGCATAAGTACGGATCCAGCGGGCTGGCGGACGAGCTTGTGGATGTAGTTAAAGATTGGGGGAAATAAAGGCTGTTGTGTTAGTCTTCTTAACGTGTAAATGTACGTCTACATCGAGGAGCCGGTAGGAAAGAGACGCGTCAAGTGGTTATTTCCTGCTCGTGAGCGCAGAAGAGATAAACCTGGCATGTCACCCCCCAGGGGTCTGGTTGAGGTGCTGGTGCTTTCAGGAGGATGTAACCCCAACTGTTCACCGATTCATCTTATATCAGTGAGGTGACCTACGTATCCCCACCATCCCTCGCTTTCATGTTGCTCAAGTCCGCCCAGCGACCAACCCACCACCGACACATCCCTTTGCGAACCGCCAGCTGTTCTCGATCCAGTCCTCCTCCGCTCACTTGCATCGTCCCGCGCCATATGCTCTCCCCGTTCTCCCCCGAGTCCGAGTCGGTGCCTTCCTCTAGCACGATCCCGGCCTCGGCGGCGATACGTACAAAATGCGCGCAGTGCACGGACGAGGTGTATTTCCCCGCCGCGACGTATGCGCGCGCGTCCGGTGACTTGCGGAGGAGCGCAGTGAGCGAGGCGAGGAGAACAGTATGCGAAGCATCGAAGTGGAGGAGGTCTGAGAGGATGACTACGTCGAAGCCTGGTGAGGTCGCGGAGAGGCTTGCGCTGGGAAGGAAAGACCTGTCACAGAAGCGGCTCAGTCTCCAGCCGACCACGCAAGCGAATACTGAGGGTAGATCAACGTACAGCAGCGGACGAGGATCCTTTCCCCACTCATATCCGCAGCACTGTACCACGCACCCATCTGCTGTCTTACCCGCGTTCCGCGCCACGTTCTGCCGGAGGTTCCCCAGGATCGTCTCATCGGGGTAGTCCGTTATCACAACCAGCGACGGAGGGTGCGCGAGAGTCGACGCGAGGAGCGACGGCAGCGCGCATCCTGCACCGAGCTCAACCACTGTGACATGCCCAACGCGTCAATTGGTGGAAATACCGGAAACGACGCCAACCTACCAGTCTTCCGTTCCAGCGGGATGAGTCCCCGCTCGATGTGTTCTGCGAGTAGGAGCGAAGGTGAGAACAGGTGGTCCGCAAGCAGCGTATTGGCCTACACAAGCAGAGAGGGTTGTGAGAACAGCCCAGACCTCGCGTCAGAAGGTTGCGCGAAGGACATACCTTCCCTTCCTACGCGGCCCAGTCAATACCGGCGAGTTAGTATGCAGTCTAGCATACCTGGGCTCGTCATAGCATTCGAATCGGTATGTACATGCGGTCATGAGAGACCGAGCACGCACCTTCGGTGCGACCGTCAAGACCAGCGGTCCATAATGGATCTCTTCATCGTCGTTCAGATCAAGTGTGTCGCTGTATAGCGCAAATGTGTCCCCTATGAATTCGTCAGGATCCATCCTTTGCGAGTCCGTAAATCCCAAAGCCTGACGCTGTGACAGTCAGGGGAATGAGTGGGTTACTAGTACGGCCGCAAACGATATAACGAACTTGAAGTGGATGGCGGACCCGGGACGATCTCGATAGCGTTTCAACCGAACACCGGATCCGCCCATTGTGTAAGCAACAAAGCTAATTCAGGACAGCCCTTAGCTGAACCGAGTTCAGTTCTTTCTGGGCAAACCTGAGGAGATTTCATATGCATGGGAGGACACTCTAGGCAAGTTCGATACAAACCCCTCACACACTAGTGCCGTGTGAAGGGGCTGGATATGACACTAGGGCCTAGCAAAACCCTTCCAAGTAGCGCATAGAAACCGGTCCAGGAAAGGCAACCATGGATCGATGGACGCGCCAGCTGTCTGCGTACTCAAAAATCTTGCAAAAGGGAACTGCCACAGCATCCTGGACATGTCCGGGATCGAACCGGACCCCTCTCGCAGACTGCGATGCTAAGCGAGCGTGATAACCAACTACACCACATGCCCTGATGCAATGCTTAGTGATCGTTACACCTGAATTGCCCCAGAGCACCCTTGGCTTACTCGCCTAGCTGCAGTACCGATGGATGGCCCGGGCCGCTGCATCGCATGAATGTTTCTTCGATATTACCAACTGACACTACAATACATGTTCGGCCCTGTATTTTGCACTACTGTATAACCATCTTCATGTTCTCGCCCCGGGATCGTTGATGTTCAGAACCAAGAGCGCAAGCTCCCCTCGAGGGCAACCCCACCCGCACCGATCGCAACGACTGCCCATGTCCACTTGTTCGCCGCTTCCTTCAGCGCTGGCCAGAAGCTGTTCTTTTCGCGCCGGTACTGTACGAGCTGCTCGTATTTGATCGGGTCTGCCTTGTACGCGTCCTCCTGGAAATCCTCCGTCTCGCGGTCGCCGCCGATCGCGCGCAGGAAGACGTAGTTCGCGAGGGGACCGAGGAGCGCGAGCGGATGCAGCAGGCCGGCGCTGTACAAGAGGACTGGGAAGGAAAAGTGCACGAGCGCGTCGCCGAGGTAGCTATATGCATGCATACGTCAGTATCGGTGGGGAGAGTGTAGATCCTGGGAGGACTCACTTGGGGTGCCGGACGATGCTCCACACGCCCTCACGGTCCAGAACGATGTTGCCCGTCTTGCGCTTGTGGTCCTCGAGCTGCGTGTCCGCCAGCACCTCAAGCGCATACCCGGTTGAAAACAAGAACACCGCCGCGGCGTGCATGAGCTTCGCGTTGCTCGGGAGGGGCGCTGCGACCAGGCCCGCGCGGAAGGGGATGGTGAACGGGAGGGTGATGAGAGTCTGCACGGCGGCCTCGGGGAGGAACCCGGCGAGGAAGATCTTGTTCCAGAAGCCGGGGTCGCGCTTGTCTGCGGCGTAGCGCGGGTCGTCCGCACCACGGCGCACCGTGCGCGACGCGATGTGGTAGAAGAGGCGGGCACCCCACGCGGTCACGCACGCAAGGAGGAGGCGCTCTGAGTAGGTGGTCTCTGCCCAGGCGCGCTGCAGGGAAAGCCCGTCGTAGACGACGCGGGTGCCGAGCGCGCTCCACCAGGCGTTGGCGACCTGGCTCGCGGGCCAGAGCCAGTCCTTACCGTCGGCGCAGTCGGAGTAGCGCGAGATGCCGTACGCAATGACGGAGAGGCCAGTGTGGAAACCGAAGGAGGGGAGGATGGTGGTCTTGAAGATCCCGACGGTGGTTGCGACACTCAGCGTGGTAGCGGTGTCTGTGCGGACGCTGAAGTGCGTGTTGTAGCCTGGAGGAAGTCAGCATTCGGTGGTAGAGCATAGTAACGCGACATACGGTCTTGTTCCGCCATCGTCGTTACAGTCTGGAAGGTGAGGCGGCGAGCGGCTATAGGGTGCGGGCTAAGTATGTATGCAGTATGTGGGTATTGCACGACGTATGACGTCGCGGTGCTCCAAGCGTCATCGCCGTGCCACGCTACGCCATGGCTAACGCGTGACGGTGGTCGCTGCGCGGCAACTTAGAAAGTGTTCTTGCACGGCGAAGGAAGTTACATATCCCCTAGTGTCATGGTCAGACTCAAGATCTGCATTATGACAGAGACGCGTCGACGCGTCATGTTGCGAACGGTCTCGTGACCGAACAATTGTAACTTACGACGGACGCCCGTCCTGATCCAGACTCTACGCCGCCGCACCACTGGCAAGCGGACGGCTCGCGGACGACCGACGACGGACGGCCGACGACGACGATCCTTGCTCAGTGGATTTTTGACCTGCTGTTCTCGTATGGAAACTATCTGACATTGCTACACAAAGCAAAGAGCTTCGTACATCCACTGCTTCGTTCCAGAAGCAACCAAACTGTATACTCTGTATACTACCCGAGGTCAATTTACAGGTCTCAGGTGCGTCCCATAAACTTACTAGGCTCGGCTAAACTTTCAGTTCACTGAACATACAACGCAGAAGCCAGCGTCACAGCGCCAATGTCTATGGTATCTTCACTGGCAAATGACTAGGCCTCATCGGCCAGTAGATCGCCCTATGACCTTATCTTGCTCCCTGCACCAATCACTTTGTCGCTGCACTGGCTTCTTCTCCCCCAGTTCGTGACTCGACCGTGGAAACGCTACATGCTTATCGCTGCAGGACGTGAGGCCCCGCATCCTCCTACACATCACCCCTCATCTTGAACGAGACCTGTAGCCCCAACAGAGAGGGATCCTATCATGGCATCTCCGATACTTGATCAGCCTTCAGGGCTCCCCGTGTCCAACTCAACGCACTCATTTTGGCACAGCGAGCCTAACGGGTTTCTGCTTGGCCACCGTACCACCCCGGGACTGCCTTCCGAGGCCGACGTAGTTATCGTCGGGAGCGGAATCACGGGTTCGTCTGCCGCACGCTTCCTAGCCGAAGATCCACGGTACAATGGTCGGAGCATCGTGATGCTCGAGGCGAGAGAGGCATGCTGGGGAGCTACCGGTCGGAATGGAGGTACAGTGGAATGGCTTGTCGTCTAGGCAAAGCACTGAGCGGGCATCATCACAGGCCACTGTCAGGTCCTCCCCGTCGCACGCGGCCCCGAGGTCGCCAAATTCGAAGTGCTGAACTATAACACGGTGAAGGCGTACATCGCCGCGAACGACGTCCCCTGCGAGTGGCGCAGCCTGTCGGGCTGCCGCGCCTTCTACTCCGAGGAGATGTTCCAGGCGGAGCTGCGCAAGGTCGCGGCGCTGAAGGCGGGCAACTCGGAGCTCGGGAAGATCATCGAGATCGTCACGGACAAGGACGAACTTGCGCAGCACCGCGTCGGCACGGCGGTCGGCGCGTCGCTCTGTACTTCCGCCGCCAGCCTTTGGCCGTACAAGCTCGTTACGTTCGTGCTCGAGAAGCTCGTCAAGGCCGGCCACCTGAATTTGCAGACTAACACCCCGGTGGCGTCTATCACGCAGGGTGATGGCACGCACCCACACGTCCTCGAGACACCGCGCGGCTCCCTCCGCGCAAAGACGGTGCTCCTCTGCACGAACGGCTATACCTCGCACCTGCTTCCCGCCTTCGCGGACCTCATCGTGCCCGTGCGCGGCGAGATGTCCGCGCTGCTCCCCCCGGTGGGCGCGCCGCGCCTGCCGAACTCGTACGGGCTCGAGGGCCAGCCCGGGCAGCCGGGCCACCTCTCGGACTACCTCAACCAGCGGCCGTACGCGGGCGTGCCGAACCCCGCGGGCCACTACATGTACGGCGGCGGCGACGCGGGCGCGGACTTCCCGCGCGTCGGCGTATGGGACGACAGCATCGTGGACCAGGGCATGGCACGGTGGCTCCGCCGGACGCTCCTGGTGCGCATGGAGCTCGGCGGGGAGACGGATGGGGTGGAGGAGCTCGAGGCGACGCACCAGTGGACGGGGATCATGGGCTACTCGCGAGACAACATGCCATGGGTGGGCGAGGTGCCCGGGATGAAGGGGGTCTGGCTTGCCGGTGCTTACACAGGTCGGTGCTGCGTGCAATCATACCCCATTCAGTCACTTTCGATGCTGACGAGGTGTGGATCAAGGACATGGTATGCCGAACGGCACACTCTGTGGCAAGGCGGTCGTGGACCTCATGCTCGCAGACGAACAGGGCGTCGCCGCGGCGGAAGCGCAGATGAACGTCGTCGAGTCGGTGGGCCTGCCGAAGAGCTACCTCATCACCGAGGAGAGGATTGCGAAGGCGAGGAAGCTGCCTCCCGTTGCCAAGGCAGACGCGATGGGCACGTTCGGCTCGCACGCCGCGCCCCTTGCAGACGCAGAGAAGGGAGGCGTTGTAGGCTACCTGAAGAGCTTCGTCTGGCCGTCGAAGTCGTGAAGCAAACCCCTTCGATCTGTACATTGTGCGTCGTCCGATTGCTAGCCTGGCAACTATGGCTGCGATGATCATACATTTATTTGCTGATGACAATGCCGTGCTGAAGACGGCCCATGTCGGTTTGTACAAGCCCATTCTCATAGGCAACTCGGGGTTGATGCTGTCTCTGCCGACCATCGGGATCACTATGTTTGCGGAGGTCCATCGTCTTGGCCAAGTAGCCCGTTTTCTCGCTACCACTCCAATGATCCGGCTCGTTATCTATGCGAGAAAGCATGAATCGAGAGAAATAAACTATAGCGCAACATACTAGTACTATGTAAGTGTTGGATGCATTCGGCATTCGCTGGTTTCCCTTGGCAAATCCTTCAGCTGGTGGTGGCGCAGAGGACGGAGGTACTCAGCTCGGGAGCCATCGACAAGGTCCATGCCAGGACCAGCTCTGCTAAGATAGGCCATACCCTGTATCATCACGTGCAGGAAGGCCGACACGTGATGATGCCTACCAAAACAGGAACATTCACAACCGAGTGGTGCGCGCAATCCTTCTGGAGCTTGTTTTACAGGTAGATTATAATGGTAGAAGTACTGTATTGTATCTAATGTTCAGTAAAAAGCAATATAGTTCAATATGGCAAAGATTGTAGCAGGAACAACTCGGTGGCCATGGTATTCTGAATTTTAGTTCCACATTTGGTATTGCTGACATACGTTTTGCCCGGGAGCCTCCGGACCTCTGGACATTCCAAAAATGAGACATACTGGCTCTCAGCTGATTTTCTCTTCTCTCTACTTTGAAATAAAGTGTCCACCAGTGTTTGATGGATCTTATGCATGGGCGGAGGCATTTTCTTATAGTTTTCTGAATTTTTGTGCCACGGCACCATCTCTTACGATTTGTCGCTGAGTCATCGTGCCACCTCTTTCGCGCCGTCTTGTATAGAGGTCTCTACGATGTGTAGTACATTTTAGATTATTCGAGCGCGGATCGACGTTTCTATAAATCTAAACGAACAAACTCTCCGCGAGCAAATGAGTTTAACTGTACTACTGAGAGGTGAGTCCTCCGCCGTACTCATTCTGCACGCCAAAGTCGGTGTAAGTGGCGCAAAGTGGCGTGGAATTCCCGCACGTGATGATACATGGTATGGCTGAGGCCTATCTTACC